TGAAGTCACTCTGTTTCGCTCCATTCTCTCTACCATGTCGAACCACCCAACAAACCATTCCTCAGCCCTCTGGACAACAATTTTTGGTAATCCCGCACCTCCTCCTAACTTCCAAACTACGAATTCTTCTGCATATTTTCACAACCCCCACACATTGCCCTCAGACCCCATGGACATCTCCCTGCCTCCAGGCCTTCTCTCGCTGCAACATTCATCACCCATTGCTTCACACCCATATATGAGCGTGGGTAAAACTATACTCTCATACATTCCCCTCTTGCTCAAGGACAAAGTTCTTTGTCTCCACAGACTCCTAAGTGCCACCGTCACCCTTTTTCCCTCATCAGTCCTATGATTCACTTCATCTTTCATCAGACCCATCCGCTGTCAGTCATCCCAAATATATGAATTACATTCACCTCTCCGTACTCTCTCCCTCCAATTCTGTATCCAATCTTTCTAACCTAATCTTTTTGTTATCCTCATAACATTACTCTTTCCTGTTTTCATTTTTAATTTTCTTCTTTTGCACACGTCCAAATTATCCACCAATCTCTGCAATTTCCCTTTTCAAAATTTCCCCCAAAGAGCACAGTGTCTCAGCAAAAGCAACTGGAAAACCCCCACTTTATGTGTGATTCTTTATCTTTTAAATCCACCCCTTGCCAAAAACCCTCGATTTTTTTTCTTACAAACCCCCCTTTTAAAAAATTTTTTTAAAAAAGGTCTCACACTCCCCTTTTCTAAGGCCCCATTTTTGGGAAATAATTTCCCTCTTTCCTAATATTAATTGAGTAAATATCCTGAAAAATTTTGGGGTTTATAAAATATTAATTTTGAAATTGAAATGTGTTTTTATATTTTTTAAAATAAATAAAAAGACCTTTTTTGGGGATTAAATTTTTTCATTTTGGGAATGTAAACAACTGGTAAAACCCCTACCTTTTTTAAACCTTTGTTTTTTGCTAATTATCTGTCTTATCGGAATTCTTATTATAACAGGGGAAATGTAAAACTATAGGGGCATAAAAAGATGGAAAAGGGTGGCAAAAATTTGAAAAGGGGGAAGGGATGGGAAAACCCAACTTCCTGGATCATGGTTCATCATTAAAGGCACCTCCCCGAAATGGTTTTCCAGATAGTTTTTTTTTATATTTGATGACAGACCTAAGGTTTGGGCGTTTTGAACAAAAAAAAGAATTTAAAAAAATTTTAGGGGAAACGTTTCCGCATTTTTTGGGATTAAAATAATTTTTTTTAAGGCTGTAATAACAACAAATTTTTTTAAAATGATTTGCCTTTTAATTTTTTGTTTCCTGTGAAATTTTCTGAACATTCGGTGAATGACTAAAATGCACGGATCTTAAATATATACCCTTGGGGCTTTCTTTTTACCCAAGTGAAACTTTTGTGCCCTTTTAGTGGCAGCCCCCCACCTGCACCCACTTCAGAATGATTGCGGACTGGGCCCTGTGGGTTTGGAAAAAATATTTTTTTAGTATTCAAGATTTTTCCACTAACTGGTATTCACTATTTCAGTTACCCCTCATTTCACTGGCAGATGAAGCTTACCTGTTATTTGTTTTTTCCCCCCACTTTACAATTTTTAAAGGTTCTTTTTAAACCTGTAACCCCAACCATCAGCTGCCCCGTTTCTTGAAGGAAAAGCACAAGAAATAAGACTTACCTATAATTTTTGTAGAGGGGGTGAGCTCTGTACATACATAATATATCATCTTCGAACACGATGTCTGTTGTCCATAAAGGGTATTCAGTCAAGCTTACATTTATTTTTTTGTAGCTTTTACTGATTTGGGTCACTGTACTTCACTTTATAGTTTCGTATCAGATCAAGTAACCCCCAGTTTTAAATTTCAAAAATTCTGGTTTTCTTATATGGAATTAATTATCATGGTGATAATTAATTGCCTTTTACTGGGGACGTTCCCCCGCAAAAACAAATACAGTGGACCCCCCCCTATTTAAAAAAAATCGGTATTTTGTAAATCCGGTATTCGATGCATTATATCGCAAAAATTTTGCCTGGATCCGATCGAAAAAACCCGGTATTGATACGTTCGTACGAGACGTGTCCCCGTGTGGGCCCGAACGCTCCGTGTGTCCCGGTTTTTTCAAAACCAGCCAGTGTGACGCATCTAAAGGGTCTTCGGGACATTCCACTTATCACTGTTTTTGGGGGCTTGTTTCTGCAAAAAAAGTCCCATGGGCCCAAAAAAGCTTCTTCCAACCCTTCGGAAAAAAGGGTAATGGGTATTGAAAAAAAGAAAGAGATAATTGCAAATTAAGAAAGTAAGTGCGGTGTCGGAGCTGGGCGGTTGTATAAAAACCCAATCAACCATTTCCCACTATATACCCGGGAAAAAGGCAATCAAGGAAGCTGTTCTTGCAAAAAAGCAACTGGATTAGAACAGTTTCTGCAAGTGTTAGAAAAAGTTTAGAGACTGTTATTTGGGGTGAAAATAAAAAAAAAAGATAGCAA